ATAACAAGTGTTATGCGCCACCAAATAACCATTAAACCTTTCGCAATCTCTATAATCTCTAATAATCATTTTATGTGAATTATGATATATGATTGCGCTATTCACTACGTTGACAAATCGATTCAACTGACAGTAATTTTATTAATATTAAGTAGGAAACTGAAATCATAACACAATACTAATTTAACATAAAAGCATATAATAGAATGGTTGCATGCACATTATCTCCACTCCTTTTAGTTTCTCTGACTTCTGCGGTATAAATCCTCGTGCAGCGAAAATACTAAAGTCACGCCTATATTTATTCAAACTTAAAGATTTTTTAAATGATTACAAATCAATCATGTCAAAATTGACAAATTCAAAATAGTATAATCAATATGGCAGATAACAAAACTTAAAAAATATCCGAAAATTTATATAGAGATATAATTTATATAGAGATTTTTTTTTTTATTATTTTGAATTCATCAAATTTTTACATCAAATTCATATTCAGCGATCTAAAAAATCTTTAAGTTTAAATGAACATAATTGAAAGCTATTTAGTAAATTATTGATAATCTAAAATTCATAACTTTCTTTCTTTAACATTTAACTATGAATATCTTATTTACAGCCGACACAACAAATTTCTTGAGAGCTAAAAGACCGAACAACATACTTAACTTTAATTGCAATAAAGCTTGTCTAGCATGTAATATCACGTATATACATATGTAATTATAATATAACAAAGCACAGAGAAAATAATCCTTTTTTGCAATTACAAGTGCAAATTCTGTAAAATTATGATGTAATAGAGCAATTTGTAAACAGGATTTGTATTTAGCATCCGAAAAAAACTATAAGAAATGGCTAGTCTCGACCTGATGTTCGAAAAAAATTATTTTTTGTTAAATTGTGTTATATAATTTAAACAAGAATATATGTAAGTCAATATTACGAGCTGGCAGCGCAGAGGTCTCACATTCAAAGCATGATATTAACTGTACTCGGAGTAAATAGCGCGGTTAATTTCAATCTCTATTCAGATTCTCTTCAGCCAAATGTTGGCCTGCGTATTTTAGTGAGCAAACTGCCTGCATAACGACGATTACAGATTAGCAACAGATTTGTTCGGATGTTGCAAGAGATCACCCATGTCCGCATAAACTCGTATTTTGTCGACAGTCTGCTGATATAATCTAATAGCAGATTGTCGACAGAGGAATTGAATAAAATCGATCATTTTGTAAACTGTGTTAATTTAAATATACAAAACGGTTACAAAATGTAGAGATTCTGTTCTACTCTCTTATTTCTACAGAATCTGCCATTATATTTTATCATATAGTAGTTATATTTCTGTTGTATTCTGTCGACAAAAGCTAAGACGCTACCGTGTCTCCATTTCGCAGATCTTTCCAAAATCTCAACAGATTTAGCTATCCAAATATAATCCTTGCTTCGATTTTTTTTTTTTAAGCGAGGGATTAATCTTTATTTTATTTAATTCTACTCCATGACTTCTTCCGTAAAATATATTCCGAGAGGATATCTCACTAAGCGAACTAACGACCCGATTTCTCCTGCACAGTTAATCGTGCTCTGCGTGACGGTAGCCAACGTTATTGGTGATCTGCCACCGGGCACACGGCGCAACACTTACTTGCCGCCAGAGCCAACGCCGAAAGGTTACACGTACAGCAAGCCGCCGGTGTCATTTCCGAAGCCCACGCCGAGCTTCCCTGGACCCAGACCGACGCCGTCCTTCCCCGCACCTAGGCCGACGCCGTCCTTCCCCGCACCTAGGCCAACGCCGTCCTTCCCCGGACCCAGGCCAACCTTTCCCGGGACCAGACCGACGCCCACCTACCCACAACCTACCAGAACTCCAGGAACTTTTCCGCCGTCGCCAAGTACAGGCTATACCAGAGTAAGACCCACACCTCCTTTCCCAGACTATAACGGCCAACAAAGCGGTGGTGATAGAACACTTATCGGCCCTGATGTAAGTACACATTGTACTAAACAAAAAGTCTGTATCTAATATTTAAGTGATTTTAAAGAAATACAAAACAAATACATACTTTTTTGCTTACAAAAAATCTGCAATTTAGAAACTGTAGCTGAAAAATTAATTTTTCTTTTATCTAATATAATATAATAGAATAGACATAAATCTCTAAAAATTGATAGAACACCTCAAAACTGCGAAGTATCCTATTAAAACAGTTTGAAGTGAACAGTTAAAAAGTTCAAATTTCATTTTGGATAAATAATTTAAATAAAACCGTCAATTTATTTGATCGACTTAATCGAAGATTCAAATATAATTTTCATACACTAAACAAAAATCAAATTTTAATAAATATTTGTTTGAATAGTTCTAAATTAATATTTATTTCGTACTATTTAAACAAATATATATTAATATTTAATAAATTTTTTAGTGTATTAAATAGAAAATTTTTAATGGTTCGAAATTAAAGAAAATTCAAGTAAAAATAATATAGTACTTATTAAAAAAAAGGAATAAACAGCTCTATTTCTGTGTTTACTCTATTTCAAATTTGCAGTTAGATCTAATGAATCAAACAGTTCGAAGTGTTCTTAGGCTTGAATTATTTAATCTTCTAACCGTGTTTAGAAGGTTTAATGTAATATATCGCAAAAATTGATATTTTTGTTGGCAATATTATCGTTACCATGAAAACTTTTTAAAAACGCTCGGATCGAAAAAAACCCGAACACGGTTAGAAGGTTAAATAATTAGGACTGAATTATGTTATATTGAATTATACATATTGTTACAAATATTATTTGAATTTTAGGATTAAATTATTTAACTAATTCAATCTTAAAATTCATACTGTTTCAATTGTTCAAACATATTTATATCTTTTTTTGTATCGTTGCAGAAAAATGTAAGACATACCATAAGATATTTAACTAATCTTTCAATTTTGAAAAATAAGTATGACTTAATTAAAATTAATAATCATTTTATACTTTTTATTTTTATCCGAATGAAATAATATAACTGAGATTTGTATGTATAAAATTAGAGATATAAATTAATATTGCATACGTATTTAATTTTTTAATTATTGAATGCATTGCAGCATGATCATCATCATCACGAACCTGGCATGCCCTTTGACTTCAACTATGCTGTGAAAGAGGACGCTTTCGGCAACGATTATTCACACAATGCCATTAGCGACGGCGAAATCGTCCGTGGTGAATACAAGGTACAACTTCCAGACGGTAGAACGCAACTTGTGCGATACACTGCGGATTGGCAACACGGTTTTAGCGCACAGGTTTCTTATGATGGAAATCCTCGCTTCGATGGTGGAAATTTCAATCGAGGCTATTAGCTTCAACGTCGGGTTCTAGGGCTGTTCAATTTCTGTTAAATCAAAAAGACTACAGAACACAACGTCGCATATACTGCATGTAACAATATTTTTAAAGATATTGAAGATTAGTAAGAATGTATCATGAAAATATGATAACTTATGTTCGCTATATAATATATAGAAGACAAATGTTCGCTATATAATATGATACCGATAATAACGTATACAGCGTTTTAAAATTCTCACATAATGTTATTCATAAAATTGCAATTTAACTCTTCCTTGTTAAAAAGGCGAACAGATAATTTTTGTAACTTTTGAACTTTAATGTTTTGATATCGATATCTATATATCGATTCAATATTTAAAATTCAAAATTTTACTAAATTCTACTTCCATTTGAAAAATATGAATAATAATGTTTATATGCAATTGTTAGTCGTGAGAAGCTTTTATTTTTCATAGCTCATAGCTGAAGAAAATTACTAAAAGAATTTATTGCTATTGTTATAATAAACAAAAATCTATTTTTAATACAAAATTTCGTAGAAAGTAGTGTATATCCATTCAATCAATTTTGAGACAAATTATATATATATTAATGTGATCTAATTTTCTTTTTCTTTTAGACTTAATAAATAATTTTAAATATTATAACAAAAAATAATAAATAATTAAGAAACTTATTTCATCTGTGATATACATATAATCATTATACTACAATAATAGTATTATCTACTTCATCTTATGTTCACAAATCAATTTCAACAGTAAATCATATAATTGTTGTAATTGCGTAAATTGTTAGATCACATTAATTTATATTATAAATAAATCTCCTATATATTTTATTATGCAAATTATATTTTTTAGCACTGCTTTGATAAAAATCACACAGAATGAAAAAATAGATATAAAATAGACATATAGTATTCTATTATTTATATTATCTGTCTTGCTTTATGCACCAAAATCTATTGTTTTCTCTTCAGCATTTGAGAAATTATCGCATAAATAATTTAAAACTCTAAATAATTAGTATAGGTAATTATCGCTAAGAATATAATATTATAAATATTATAATATAAAATTAATTCAAAATTGAGCTATGTAACGA